GCAGCATGATGGATGATCCTGAAGTGGGAGGGACCCACAGGGATCACTGCTTCCAAATCCTGAAATGAGACCATGTGTCTGAGCGTGTTGTCCAGATGTCAGCCTGCGGCTGAGAAGCTCCCTGGTGCAGGAGCTGTAAGCAGCAGCACCGCGTGGCATCACTCCTCTCACCTGGTAGTGCTGCACCTCCAGGGAGAGGTGATGGGGGCTGTGATGGTGCAGGGCTGCAGCTCTGTGGGCTCACTGTGCTGTGCTGGGCTCTGGCAGGCAGTGACAAAGGCCAAAGGCGGAAACAGGAAGCAATGCTTAAATTTACTTTCGTTTTCTATTCCCACAAGAAGAGGCCGCTGAGCCGTTCGGTGGGCCGGGGGCTGAGGGTCGATGGCAGGTGAGTGCAGCCAATGGTGGGGGCACTGGGGGTGGGCTGGGGGCTGCTTGGATCCTGCTGGTCCCACTGAGCCTCGCACATCACAGCACATGGCAAGGACCACGTGTCCTGGGCAAGGGATCCGTGTCCTGCAGCACTTTCTGTGGCAATAGGGAGAGCGGGGAGCACCAAGGGAGGAAGTGGAAAAGGGAACAGCAGGAACGGGTGGTGGGAGGGCTGGAGCTACGTGGGGCAGCTCTGGATGCTGACACGGCTGCCCTACAGACCAGGAGCTGCTGAGAGCGCGTGCCGACTTTGTGAGCCGCGTGAGGAAGGCTGTGATCTCCAATCTCCTGGATGAGCTGCTGGCCCACAGGGTGCTGAACCAGGCAGAAGTGGATGAGGTGCAGGAGGCCAACCCAGTGACAACCGACAAGGCCCGGAGCCTCATAGACATCGTACGCCTGAAGGGCCCTAGGGCCAGTGCCATCTTCATCGACAGCCTCAGGAAGCACGACAGCAACTTGGCGGAGCAGCTGGGACTGAGTGCTGGTGCAGGTGAGAGGCAGAGCCACGACCCACCCTGGCCGTGCTTGTGCTTCCAGTGCTTCCTGTGGCATGCTGGAGGGGGCCCTGCCTGCTGGCCCAAGCCCAAACCATGGGGCAGTCAGGAAATCCCACTGTCACTGTGCTGTGGCAGTGGGTACCCCTCACCACGTGGTGACAGCAGGGCTCTCAGGTGGCTGCTCCCTGTAGGAATCCACTATGGGGCAGAGACGGGTTCTGCTTGCCCCCATGCACTGTGAAAGCCCCTTCTTACCCTTTCCAGTGTAACCACGGCCTTTGTGCTTGCAGAGCCTCCTGGTGCACCGCCGGCTGCCCCCAGCGCTGCGGGCTCCTCCGGCCCCCCCGTTAGCAGCCAGAACCTGCAGTGGACCCTGAGCGAATACCAACGCTTCAAGGAGGCAGAGGGAGATCAGGTGCTGTGGGTGAAGGAGATGAGAGAAGGGCTGGAGCATGGAGCAGCCTCTCTGTCAGAGGGGGCAAAGGCTGCCAAGGGTCCTCTGCAGTCAGTGAGCAGCGCAGAAGCTTTGGGAAGATGCCCCAGGGCTGGGGAGATGTGGGTGCTGCATATGTAGGCCTTTGCTGCTATAGTTGCCTCCCTAGAGAAGCCTCCTGCACCCACTCACAAATGTGCATCACCTTGTTCTCTCATCACAGATCTATGACATATTCCTGCCACGGGAAAAACGAACCCGTAGGGCTTTGCTCATCTGCAACACCAATTTCGAGCACTTGAGCAAGCGGGACGGGGCTGAAGTGGACGTGAAGGAGATGACAAAGCTGCTAGAAGGGCTGGGCTACAATGTGGAGTGCCATGAAGAAGTAACTTCCCAGGTAAAGGAAGTTGCAGAGACCTTTGTGTGCAATGGAGGTGGGGGGCTCAGGGCAGACATGGCTGTGAGGGCTCTCAGGAACCACAGGAACAATTCTGTCTCCAGTGGCAATGGCTCCTGCTCACAGCTGCATCTCCACACAGCTGGTTGCAGGTGGCTGATGCCCCTTTTTCATGGTGTTTCGCAGGAGATGATCACAGTCATGAAGAATTTTGCAGATCACAAAGATCATTGCACCTCTGACAGCACCTTCCTGGTGTTCATGTCACATGGAGTCAGCACTGGGATCTGCGGGACCAAGAGTAATGGGACCACAGACATCCTCTCCTTCAGCACCATCTACGAGAATTTCAACAACAAGCACTGCAAGGCACTGGTGGGCAAACCCAAAGTGGTTATTATCCAGTGCTGCCGTGGAGGTGAGTCCCTGCTGCAGGGTGCCTGCCAGGTGAGCAAGCCAGTCAGGCTCACCTGGAGCACAGGCTGGGTTTGGGGCACCCCATCACTGACGGCTGGCCCTGCCTTCCTAGACAACATAGGTTCTGTGATGGTATGTGACTCCATCGACCCTGAGATGCCCACTTTCACCTCGGACGGCTTTAGGTCTGTACAGCTGCAAGGTCGTAAAATCAGAGAAACTCACCTGGAGAGTGATTTTGCCACTTTATATTCCTCCACACCTGGTAAGCAATTCCACAGAGAGAGTTCTCCTGTCTGAAGGAAGGCAAGGGGGGCAGGACTCCCATTCCCCACCCCATCAGTCTCTCCCACACCTCCTTCTCAGGGTGGGTTGACAAGGTCCCTCCATCTGGTGGCCTGGCATACATTGCTCAGGCATTGCTCCAGCAGCCTCTGCACAGTGCAGCATCCTCCCAGTGTCAGAATACACAGCCACTCCAAGCCCAGATCCCTTTCTGGGTGAGTGCTACCATGGCTAGAGTTCTGTGCCTTCGCTCCAGCCTGTGCATCTTCTCCAGCCCATTTATCTCACTGTAGTGGCTAGCTGGGAAAGCTGTCTTCTCCTGTGGAAAGTTTGGCTAGGTCACAGATGGGTCCAGGCCGTGCAGACATGCATGCACTGGGAGCGTGGCTGGGAGCAAGGAGACCAGAGAAAACATCACACCCAGCATTCCAGGAAAGCTCTGTCCTTTTCCCATTCTTCGTCCTGTTGGTCAGGTGGGCCATCTACAAAGATCTCAGAAGGTGTCCCAGTCTCCTGCTCTAGCACGCTGTGTTGATTGCTGCTGCCATGGGGAACACCAGTGGAATGACACTTAGCATCTTCTGTCTCCTCAGATACTGTCTCCTGGAGATGCCCCAAAAAAGGTTCTCTTTTTATCCAGAGACTGGTGGAGCAGTTTCGAAGCCATGCCTTTAACAGTGACTTGCAGGAGATGTTCAGAAAGGTGAGGCTTTGCAGTCAAATGCAAATACAGCCATGCCAACAGGCAGAGATGCTGCTGCAGGAACAGGGGCCTACTCACGGCTCTGGCCTTATTCTGCAAACTTGGGGAGCAGGCTGTGTCCTAAAAGGGTCCAGATGCTCGGGTTTGGTTCTCTGTGGGGGTCAGTGTCCTGCCGTGGGGCAGGCTTGTGACAGCCTGCTGGGTTGGTGCAGCCCATGGCTTCTTTTGCACCAACTCACCTTCCTGGGGATGCCTCCTGATGCCCTGCACTGCAGCCATGCTGGAAGGAGAATTGCTTTCATTTTCCTGTGCTCTCTTTCTCTCTTTCTCACTCCAGGTCCAACGTTCCTTTGAAAACTTTCCTCGGCAGTTGCCAACACAAGAGAGGACTACAATGCTCAAGAAGTTCTATCTCTTCCCAGGCCTCTGATCTCCTGCCCAAGGTGAGTTTTTCCACTTCACCACTCTGCGACAGCCTCTTCTTTGTGCTCCACACCTGGTACTTTGTCAGTGGGCAGGAGCAATTCCCCATCACACCTTGGCTCCAGAGCTCACAGCTCGGGCTTTATGTCCCAAGGACTTATGTGCTGCATACAGGAGCCTGACTCCCCATCTCCTGCTGGCTCTAGAAGATGGGTGCTTGAGGAAGTCATTGCAGCAGCCTGTGTCTCAGGAGCTTTTTTTGTTCTAATGTTCTCAATGGGTTAAAAAAAAAAAGACATGGACAGAGAAAGTGTTTGAATTTGGGAGTAACAAAGCAGAAAGCTCAAGCTCAGGGAATGCAGTGGTGCTGCAGAGATGTACTTCAGAAAAGGAAATGAAAAAAATAGAGGCCAAAACCAGCTCTGCAGAAACAGCAAATCTCTAAACCAGCTTCTTTTGCTCCCTCTGCTAGGCAGCTACAGAGCCAGAACAAAACAGTCTTCAGTCTTCTCTTCTTCCTCCCTTTTGAGGCATCTGAACAACCTCAAACTGACCAAATTCTTGCCAGGGAGCAGCAAAGACACTCAGCAATAGAACACTACATGCACACCTGGACCACATCTCTCTTTACCACCCCAGCAAAGGCTGTGAAGCAAGCATCTTCCCATTGGTGGCAGATACCATCTGTCACTCTGAGAGCCACTTCTGCCCTGTTTCTGACTCAACTTGTTGACTAATAAAAGCATTAGAACACATAACAGCACCTCTCCTCTGCCTCCAGCCTGTGGTGATGGTTGGTGGCCAGCAGCAGCTGCTTGGGTACAGCTGTGAACAGACAGGAGGTCATGAACCAGAATTGAGGGAGGAGGGGGCAGCCAGTGTGGGGGGTGGCTGGGCTCCTAGAGAATCCACTTCTGTTTGGTGTGCATCTGCTCCCTGTGCTGGTGGGACAGCCTGCACTGTTTTCTGCCTCTTCCATCCCTCCTCACCCAGAGCTGTGTGAGAGCTACACTTTGTCCTTGCAGCAGTGCTGCCTCATGCCCTGGTGTCCCTGCCTATCTCCAGTTTCTGTCCATGTGCTCTCCAGGTTCCCATCTCCTTGGGTCGAACATGGAGAGAAAGTGAATGCAAAGCCCTTCCATATGCAGGTCCCAAGCCCAAAGCAGAGTAGGGTGGGTGTGCTCTCATGGCTCCTTCCTCACAGCTCCCTTCTGCAGCCCATGGCGTGGCCTTTCTCAGGAGGCAGCTTCCTCCCGCTGCCTCGGAGGTGGTGGAGGGAAGTGATTTCCTCTGGAAGCCATGAAAGATCCTTAAATCTGCATCTAACAGCTCAACTGACACCTCCCACCACCATCCCCTCCAGTAAGCCTGTCAGTGCTCCCCTTGTCCACAGCCACATCCAAACCATTCTCTGCCTTGGCACAGATGCAGGTTTATTGCAAGTGCTGCAAACCACTGTCGGCTCCACCACCAGGTGAAAAGGTGGTAGGAAAAAGAGAGGGCTCTCCTGTCCCCTCCTTGCGTCCAAAGCACTTGGGTGCATGCAGGCCACGTCCTTGGCCAGTGCCACCCTGTGTCTCTGGGAGGTGGCAGGAGGGCTGGGCCTCTGCGAGCAGGATGGGAAATGTCCTCAGACCACAAAGGTGGCGGCTGCTCTGGGCTCTTCTTGCTCTGCCCAGAGCTCCCTGGGTCCCACGTGGTGCTTGCAGGAACACCGGTGGCCAGGACTACGGCGATGGCAAGAAACTGAGAACAGCAGCGATGAACTCTTCAAACTTGTCCTGATGGACTATGTGGCCTGCGCCTTCGATGAACTGGACATCTGCATTGGGGAAGAGGCGCTGGATCTCTGGGTAGTCTTTGGAGCTGCAGGACAAGGGAAGACAGCATCAGAAGCGTGGTCAGAGGTCCACCCAGATGCTTTCCTCCACCTGCTGCAAGCAGAGTCTCAGGTCTGACCACATCCTCTTTGTCACTGCTAGGAAAGCCTGAGGCTGCCCTCAGGCTCCACCTCACTCTCCAGCACATCGGTGTCACTGCCTGCTGGAGGCACAGAGCTCACTCCAAGGCCTTCCCTCCCAGCCTCAACATCTGCAGAACAGTGCAAGGAGTCAGATCACAGACTTTGAACAGCTTGTCTTCAGTCTCACCTGATATAGGGTGATTTGGATCCTCCCAAAAACAATGCAGGGCCAGGATATGGCTTGTGGAAGACTGGGAAGCTCATGATATCTGCAAAGTGATGGGAAATAGCATCCAGGTTCACTCTCCAGATGTAGCGGCCCTCCACCTCCACCAGGTTGGTGAGAAGAAACTGTCTCAGCTGAGGGTCCTGCCACAAAAGGGGAATGTGCCAGTGGATCACACACACTTCAGTGAGAGCAATGAACCCTTGGGATGTCCTACCCATCTCACAGCTCATGCATGCCATGTTCCCCAGTTCTCCTGCAGCCTTTGTGACCCAGCTGCCCAGATCAGCATTGAGCTGGCAGGAATCAGGGTCCCAGGAACAGGCTAGGGGCAGAAGCCCCTTCTAGGATAGGGATTTCCCACCTGGACCACGGAACTCAGCTGACTGTCAGCCAGCTGGCGGGCAGCAGAGCGGGATAGACCAGCCGGGATGTTCACTGACTTCATGGCAGAGATGTAAGCAGGGAACTCGGAGATAAGTGTGGTTGAGGTAGGACTGATGTCTACGGAGATAAGGCGCTCCACCAAGTCTGGCTGGGGACACAGGCAGAGAAGACCAAATGAGAGCTGAGATCTCCCAGCCTTGCTCTGAACAGTGAGGCCAGGCACAGTGCTCTGCTCCCAGCAAGGCTCTCTGAAGGCTTTTAGCTCCCTGCTGCCCCAGCAGATAGCTCCACAAACCTTTCCCTGAAGTCTTACTTCCCTGCACCTCCGTACATGAGACGTCTGAGCTCCTGTGCAACTGATGCCAGCATGGTGGGCTGAGAGCAGAGCCCTGCAGCCCAGCTCACAGCTCTGAGCAGGGCAGTGCTGGGGATAGCCGCTCACCGTGGGCTCATGGCCACATCAGCACTGCCCTTCTCAGCACCACCTCCAACACTCACCAAGCCCCGTCCCATCACCAGGACCCCCAAACACCCACCCGCTGCAAGGCCAGCACCATGGCCGTCTTGCCACCCATGCTGTGTCCCACGAGGATGCACTTGTGGATGCCCAGCTGGGTCAGGAGGTGCTGCACGTCCAAACTCATCGCCTCGTACGTCATCAGCGGGCTGTGGGGGCTGCTGCCATGGTTTCGTGCGTCCACTGTGAGCACCTGCCCAGCCAAGGGGTACTGCATCAGCTGGGGCCGGGCACTGCTCGTGGTCCCCAGACCTGTGGGACTGCCTGTGAAGCTGGGGCTCTGCAGCTGTCCCCCGTGGCCTCACCTGGCCGCCAACACGCCGCACCAGTGTCTTGGCCACAGTATGGAAGTTGCCGTGGTTGCCGAAGATGCCGTGGAGCAGCACCAGGGGCGGGCGCGTGCCTCGGACTCCAACCTCGGCGTGGGCCAACGGCACAGCCCTGCGGGGAGAGGGCGGGGCTGGGAGCAGCGAGGGGCGGGGCTACGCCGAGGGGGCGGGGCCACGGATCAGCAGGAGCGGGCTGGGGGCGGGGCTACGCGACCGGGCGGAGAAGAGCCCAGGCCCTGAGGCGGGGGGGCCCACGGAAGGGGGCGGGGTTAGAGCCGAAGTTGGGGGGCGGGTAAAGCACAGCCCCTCCTCGCGAGACCACCACCCCTCCTGCCCCCGCCCCTAGCGCGGACGGGCCCTTACGTTATGGCGGAACGGGCTGCGAGAGGCGGGCGGGGGCCGCGGGGCGAGCCCAGGGGCAGACGACGGAGCATGATGGCGGCGGGCGGGCGAGCGGCGCGCGGCAGTGACGTAATGGGAAGCGACCACGCCCCGCTGGTAGCCGCGTGCGCCTCCTGGCGGCGGGAGGCTCTTGGGCGGACTGCAGGCGGCACCGTGACTCAGCGACACGGGCTGCAAGCCGGGAGACCTGGGACGGAACGGCGCGCGGGCCTTAGTGTGCCGTGCTGCCACCGCCCGTCCCCGCACAGTACCGCACTGCGCTCGAGCTCACCCCAAATCCCGGACCGGCTCTGATGCCACGTGAAGGCTGCAGCGCCGTGGCTGTGCGCCCATACCCCGGCACCGGGCACGGGGAGCGGGCAGCGACTGCGGGGCACCCAGAGCACCGCCAGGCACAGGGACAGCGCCCCCCGGCTCCTTCTGAGGAACCCCGACGTCCTCATCCCACAGCCCCCGGCCGGCACGCGGTGCTGCGGGCACTGCGCTCCGTGTGCCGCCACCTCCGCCAGGGAACCGACACCGAGAGGAGCGGGGGGAGGGCAGCCCTCAATGGTCTCCTTGTGCTCCGCTGGCAGCAAGGTCACCACCCGCCTGCGTGTGGCCCAGGGCCAGGGCAGGGCCCGCGTCCCCGGGAGCCCCAGGCCGGCCCCAGTAGGGCTGCTCCGCTCCGGCTGATCCTTATCGGGGCGGCCATGTGTGCAGGGCCGGGGGGAACCTGAGCCGCCCCCTCCCCCGGCGGACCGCCAGCGTGAGCCGCCTGCGGGGCCGTCGAGCGGGGAGCGGCCGAAGCAGCTGCTCAGCCCTGCCTCTCGGCTGCGATTTTCTGACAGCGGCTGCGAGACGGCCTCAGGGGCCGGAGAAGGGGAGAGGGGGAGGCGGCGATGCACCTGCGGCTTTGTCCGTGCTCGCTGGAGCCTGGCGGGGAAGGCGGGGGCCGTCCAAAGCCGGGCGGAGCTGCACCGTGCTGCCGGACCGGGAACGGGCGGTGCGGGCGTTGTGCAATGCGGCCTCGCCCCTGCTTTTACGGGGGGGAAAGAGCCGGTCTTCGCCGCCAGAGTGCCAGACTTTGTACCGAGCGGCAGGGAGTGCCGATGGTGGGACGTCAGCTGGGCAGCGGCTGGGATCCTGCGGCCCGCAGCCCCCCGCTGGGAGAGGGGCAGACGGGGAAGGAGCCGAGAGGGGCCAGAGCCTGGTGGGAAAGGTGTGGAGATGCCCATCCCCAATCCGGTGTCATTGGGGTCAGCCCCGGTGCGACTCTGCTCCTTGCATGGGGACAGCTCTGTGCTCATGGCCCCGTTTGGGGGTGACAGAGGGGTCCTCTCCACTGCAGCACGTTCCCATTGAGGTTCCAGGGCTGGCGTTGTCCTTGCACACGATGCTAATCTGCCCCACGCTGCCTTCCTGCGGGGCCGAAGCCATTCCCTCCCCAGATGGCTCTCACCCTTCTGTTCCCCCCCATCCTGTCGAGGGGCCCAAGGACACATGGATACCAAAACAGGACTCGTTTATTGACAAATGTAACTTGTACAGACCACGCGTAACAGGGACAGAAGGTGCCCGGCTGGCGGCGGGGGGGGGCCGGCAGAGCAGGGCGGGGGGACACGGAGCTTCCTCCTGGCGCTGCTGCACACAGCTCTCCTGGCAACCCGAAACCGGCTCTGTTTACATGAAACCGTCGGTATTGACACAGCCGCCCGCCCGGCTCCCGCTCGCACTGCCCGGCCCTGACCCCGGCACCGATCCCATCGCCCCCCCCATCATTCCCCTGCCTGCTCCCACCGGGGCCGGGCACCCTCGGGGGGGGAGCTCTCTCCCCGGCCTGCGGGGCGGAGGATCCCCGACGGTGCCGGTTCCGGCGGTGGGGCTGGAAGTGGGTGCAGGAGCTGCCGAGCCCCCCGTAGGGCTGGGCTGGGGGGATGCAGGGGCTCACACATAGTTCCTCTTGTCGTAGCTGGTAACGGCGGAGCGCGGGGCGGAGTAAGCCACCTTGCTGGTCGTGTACCTGTCGTCTTTTGGGGGGCAGGAGCAGCAGAGCAGGGCCCCCCCGAAGAGCTGCAGCGCGGAGGCCGCCCAGCCCACATAAAGTGACGAGCCCAGCTCCCGCTTCTGAGCGTCGAGCACCAGCGGGTTGTAGAAATCCCGGATGATGGCGTTGGCCGACCAGGAGACGGGGATGAGGGTTATGATGCCGGAGAGCAGGAAGATGACGCCGGAGACGATGGTGATCTTGGCCTTGGTGGTCTCGTCCTCCACGCAGCGCGTGCACTGGGCGCCCACGATGGCCACCATCAGGCCCAGCACGGCCAGCACGATGGCCACCACCAGCAGCGCGCGGGCGGCCTGCAGGTCCTGCGGCAGGGCCAGCATGGAGTCGTACACCTTGCACTGCATCTGCCCCGTGCTCTGCACCACGCAGTTCATCCACAGCCCTTCCCAGATGATCTGCGCCGTCACGATGTTGTTGCCGATGAAGGCCGTCACCTTCCACATGGGCAGCGCGCAGCAGATGATGCTGCACAGCCAGCCCAGCACCGACAGGGTCAACCCTCCGATCTCCAGCCCCATAGACATGGTGTCCGGCTCCCAGGCGATGGCAGAGAGGAACCCGCTGACCGAAACCACCCTGTGCTCCGCTCGCTGCTGCAGCCGTGGGGATCGGCTTACACCTGGGTGCACCTGTGCTTATAAGGGCTGGCGGGGCCGGGGCCGGGCTGCACTCGCTCAGCGCCCGCCCGGGGTGGGGTTTCTCCTCCGGACGCTCCTCTCCACTGGCTCCGTTGCCGTGTCCCACACCCTCCCCTTTGTTTGCGGAGATGGCGTAGCGGAGGGAGGGGGAGAGCCACCTGAGATGGCCACTGCAGCACAGGCCTGGTTTCGGGGCGTGGGATGGGATGGGTGCCATCGTCACAACCCGATGAGATGGAGGGCTGCCCATCTCTTGGCTTGCTGTGTGCCCTGCTGCCCACCTGCACCACGGCCCACGGCCACCGCTGACCCCCTCCAGCCTTCCCCAAAGGCAGCAGCGAGAGCTGAGAACCCCTCGGCTTCACACTGGTAGTGCTGGAGGCGGCCAGGGACGAGGGCTGAACCCCCCACCAGAGCAACATGGCACAGCGCAGAACGGCGCGGCTGGGTGGGAGCCCAAAGCCTCGCAGCGTGGCCTCTCCAGCAGGGATGCTGTAGGTCACAGCCTGTTGTATTTCTGGAGTGCTTTATCAGATCTCACGTTTAACATGGTGTCCAAAAGAAAGGCAGTTTATTTAAGATTACGGCCTTGTCGGTATTTTTATCTGCATGCAGATTGCTCCTTATCTCACCGTGGCTCAGCGAGAGCAGGGAGCACTCGGGCACCTTTGCATCACCGTGCAAAGTGCAGCCCCTTCACCTCGCCACAACGTGCTCTGTGCTGCTGGCCCCGCGCAGCCCCCTGCCCCACACAGCCCCCAGCGCACCCACACCCACCGGTCCCCTCCTGTCCCCTCCCTTCTCCTCCTGTCCCATTCTTCCCGCCCCCCCTCCTCCCGCCCCGTTCCCTCCTGTGGGACATGCAGTGCTGGGTGTGTCTACGGGAATCCCCGACCAGGTGATAAATGTCTTTTACTCATCGTGCTCAAATATTTTGTCCTTGAAGGAAGCAGACGGAGCACGTAATGCTCCCGCAGTGTCACCCTGTCCGCCTGGCTCAGTGGCAGCTGGAGAAGGAAAAACAAGGCGTGTGTGAGCTGACCCTGTGAGTGATCCCATCCAGGGGGGCAGCGTCCCCCCAGCGAGCCCCCTGAATGAGCAGGGTGCTGCTGTGTGCAGCCATCCCCCCCAGCTCTGCACGGCCAGAGTGCTGCAGGTATTTCAGCCCCCACCCCAGGAATGCATTTGCCCCCTGCTCTTGGTGGATGGCTGCCTGCAGGCATGCTCCAGCCTGTTCCCAGCCACTGCTGAGGGCTCCCCTACAACTCATTAACTACACTAGAGCATGGCTGGAGGCCCCCCTGCTCAGCCCCTCATTGGAGGGAGGCCCCACTCAACCACGCCTTGCAGCACCCCGACACCCCCACTCTGCTGGATCAGCTCCTGCTGCCCCACAGCACGTCCAACTCTTGGTCTGGGTGCACCCAGCACCGCATTGCACTGCAGCACCCCACGCCCGGCCCCGGCTCTCTGTGGCATCCCGCCATCCCATGGCACCCCATGGGGTTGGTGGGCACATGGGTGTCCCGTGGGGTCCCTGTGCAAGCAGAACCCCAGGGTCTCACACCAAGTGAGGTGCTGCTGGGGGGTGAGCCCAACCATCCCGAGGATGGAGCTGAGGCAGAGCAAACTTCGGGGTGCACAGGCACTGGGTGCACAGCAGACACTGCACACGTACCCAAATACACCCCCCCTGCTGGCTGGGATGCACAGACACAGCTGAGCAGACAGACAGACAGGGAAAGGCACAGGTGCACAGGTGCACACATGCGCAGACCATCGCGCGCAGGTGCTCAGAGGCACACAGAAGTGCACAGAGACACAGTCAGACAAAGAGAAAGGCACAGGTGCACATACACACGGGGAGGTACACACGGACAGACGGACAGGCGCAGCAGATGCACAGACACATGGCTGCGTGCACACTTGGCACACACATAGGAGGGTAGCCGTGGGGGAATGTGCACGAGCAGACGCACTCACCGGTACACCTGAGAGCAGACACAGGTTCACACATATGGCAGCACAGACAGAAGGGTAATGAAAGCACACACAGACAGGTGCACACACACACAGAGGGGCAGGGGAAGGACCTGGGGCGGGGGATGTCCCAAGTAGTGCTGTGGGGCAGGGGCACGGGAGCGAGGTGACGGCTGCCCTGCAATCAGCCCCCACGCGCCGCGCCGCCTCCTCACCCCATCATCCCAAATTGCCCAAAGTACAGGCTGTTTGCACTGTGCCGCCGGCCTGGGGCAGCAGCAGCTGCCTGACTCACAGCAGAGGAAGGGGCAAATCACCGGGGTTTCGGGGTGCCGGCTGCCGCACGCTTCGGGATGCATTCCTGTGGTGAGGAACGCAGCCTGATGGTGTTTACCCAAAACAGCCACGGGGGCGGCAGGCCTGTGGGGGTCCCCAGTGCCCCTTGGTGAAGCTGTTCCATTGCAGCTCGGAAGGGATGGGGAGCATCACTCCCAGCGATGGGGACCAGAGGGGCCACACGATGACGTGGGGATGGGTCATGACGTGAAGGTCAGACCCAAGGGGTGTGTGAGCTTTGCAGTGCTGGTGGCTCTTTTCCATGAGCACCTGCATGGCGACAACCACTGTGGGTGACCCCATCCCCATCCCATCCCTATTCCCATCCTCATCCCATCTCCATCCCGATCCCCATCCACACGTGCTGTTCGGAGGGCCGGCTGCCCCGGGGGGGGTGACGGCACAGCAGCACCAGCAGAAACCGCCCCGGGCACCGCGGGGCCGCGTCCCGCTCACGTGCGCGGTGCGGCGGGCGCGGGGCATGGGGTGTTCCCCCATGGTTGCGGTCGCGGCGGGGCCGGCGCCTATCCCCCCCAGGGCAGCGGGACGAGCGCTGCTCCCTGCTTATATTTCAGGCGCGGGGCTGTCGATCTGCCCCGGCCAGGGCACACAGACGTCCATTGTTGAAGCCCCTTTGGCGGCGGCGAGGAGCAGGTAAGGCGGCTCCGGCATCAATGGCAGCTCTGTCTGGCGGCGGGGCGGGGACTGCGCTGCGGGGCCTCGCGGGGGGATGGCGGTGCGCCCCACATTGCGGCGTGCTCGGGGCTTCCCCACCCCGAAGGGCTCGGAGCGGCGCGGCTTTTGCTGCGGTGCCGACCCCCGACCTTCGCCTGCAACGCGTCCGAGTGTCACCTTCCTGGGACGTGGCTGCAGCTCGCACGTCCCTTTGGCTTAGCAGCACTTTTGCCCATTTGGGGCTGCTTTTTGCTCAGTAAGTGGATAGGGGGTTTGTTTTCTTGGTGAACTCCTGGCAGTGGTTCCTTTGCACAG